CAAGGGTGGAACAGGTGCAATGTATTGTTTATTTAAATTAAAACATACACCGAGGGAAGAGTCTGTGTGTTGTAAACTACAAGGTAAGTTTATGGCACAAAAGCATTAACTCCTTGGCTGGATGACTGTTACAGGGTAGGAACCACTTACAAGTGGAGTGAACTCCATTGTGCTTACCACACGCTAAGGACACTGACATGGGAAATCAGTGTGGAGTAGCTCGTTTACTAGCTTACTTACCCTAGCTTGCTTCACATGAACTCCCCAGGTAAATACGCTCTGGGGAAGATGATATTTGCATTTACAGCTGCAGAGTGAAATATTTATGCTACAATGATCATTATGTACATTTCTGTTCAGCATGCAAGGAACTATATATATTCTGGCTGGCATCAGAGAACTGCATCCAAATGAAACCAAAGCAAATGCCCTTAAGGCAAGGAAATGCAGTGAATCTAGGTTTACCATGATATAAAAGGATGATGGAAGAGTCTGGTGATTACCCAGGATAGATAAGGAGGGTGACAGGGAACTCTAAATAGCTTAAAACAAGCATCGAAAGCCCTTGAAGTGGGAGCATGTTTAAACTAAATAAGAAACCTTGGAGTCCAATTCAGGTTTCCCCTTACCTAACACTGGTTTTTCCAAGCACTGTTATAGAGCTGCTTTTATTTTATTTTAACTTTTTAACACTAAAGCAAAAGTTTTACTTATAGAATATTTGAATTTGTCTCTAATTCTGTTTCACGCTCTTGCTATCTTTCATGTACTTCCTTTGAACATGATACCCATGGCCCAGGCACATTTGCTACATATAGAAATAAAACAAACAAACATACAAAGGTAAGAAAATTCCAAAGGAAGCTATAGAAGTGCTTTTCAAATCAGCTGCTGGTTTCAAATATAAGCCAGAAAGAACATCAAAAGAGGGAAAAAACCCTTGTAGGCAAATGTGTTATCTCTTATTTCCTAGAGAAGTGCCAGACCCCCAAGATACTACAGATTCCCTTCATTTTAAATGAAAAACAAATTACCTTAAATGTAACTAAATATAAATATTTATCAGGCCTGCTTTGTATTTGTGTCTCTGAATACGAGTACACCCACAGTAGCTCTTTCCTCTGAATTTTTCAGACTTTAGCAATGAACCTGAATAGGAATCCGATCTAAATACAAAACAGAAAGCTATTTTTTTCTTTTTAAAATGTTATTTTTAAAGAAAGAACTGCATTTCTACCCAGCTGAAAAATGTGATGCTTGGCCCAAGCTGAGGAACAGGGGAAGGCCATTAGGCCTGGACATGCCAACCTGAAACCAGGCATTAACACAAAGTTAATCTATGTTCACCAAAAGTTGACTTTCAGAGAGCGAAACTGAGACTGGTTTGTAGCAGTGTGTTTGAAGCAGCACTTACTGTGACAGCATTTGTGACCAAGCAATCAACGGGGCTCAACTGTTAGTTTTAACAGTGGTAAAAGTCAAAATATATTGTTCTGGCTTACAAAATAAGGCTGTTTTGCATTTTAAGTTTCCTGTCTCTTCTCAACTAGCACGACTCCCACCAGCTTTGTGGACTCATTCCTTCTAACCCACAGCCACACAGTGATTGAGATTCCCTCTCTAAACGAGATAGCCCACGAGAGAGATGCCTCATAGACCCCCAAGAGATGTTCCATCTGCGGGGGATACACAAAAGTTTCCCATAACAAACGTAACATATTACATGTTCAAAGAATCATGATTAATTAAATCAATAAATTAAAAATGGCTGATCTGGCACACAAAAAAAATGGCAGCCAGACAACAAAGAAGTTGTTTCAAACAGAGACATACTTCACATGTGGATGTCTTAGATGCACCGCTTTTCCACAGTGCTCTGCAATTCCTCCTCTGCCTGGTGGCAGTGGGGACAGGGCAGCTGCAATGGCAGTAGTGACTGACCACGGGGCTAAAACCCTTGCACGATGACCAAGCAGCAACAGGAAAAGGGAAGTTACAAAGAGTAGCAGAGGCTGAGCAAGGGGAGAGGCAACCACTGCCCAAGTGTTGGACAAGCAGCCCAGCTTCTGGGCCGCCTATGCACCCTTTCAACTTCCCAGCCTGTGAGCTGCCTGAGACCAGGGAGCTGCTTTCCAATCCTGGGAATCGTGCCCATGTTCTCTTTCAAGTGTCCAGTGAAGCAACAGGGACAGGGAAGCCACTGTGGCGGTTCTGTCCTGGACCTGGAGGCTGCCCACCCATTCGCAGGCTGCTTGCCATGGGGATCTTTAACAAGAGGGCAGGCAGCTGGAGCATGGTGCCCCCTAAGCATCTGGGCAAGCAAGGAGGCAGAGCCCAGAGCACAACACCAAGCAGCATGCTCCAGAGCTATGCATCTCTGCCAGCCTTTTAAATAGCTGGGACAGAGAGACAGACAGAGAGAGACAGACAGCACTTACAGGGAACCCTCTCACTCTTGCTTCTGTTGTAAATGGCTGGCAGGGTCTGACTGGGGGTACGGACCCCCTACGACTGCCTGCTGCTGCTGCAGAAGGCTTGCAGGGAGCCCTGTTGCCCTTGCCACCTGGAAATGTTAAAGTGCTACTGGTACAGGAACACCAACAGACCTGGGAACTTTAAAGGATGCATAAGCCTTAAACTTGAAAGGGTCTGCAATCTTAGATTCATAGAAAATTTGGGTCAGAAGAGACCTCAAGAGGTCAACTAGTCCAACCGCCTGCTCAAACCAGGGGGTTGCAGTTCTAAACTAGTGATTGTTACGGGTTTGGGAGTAACTGTCATCAAAAAGATATTCAAATAAACTTGTTCTCAACAAACAGGAAACATCTAATCTCATTTGCAGCCTAGAATTATAGCTGTACTGTAATGTATTTCACCAGGTTAGTTGAAATTAAATGTCACTGCTGAACATGGCAGAATCCCCAACTAGATCATCCCAGCCAAGGTTTTGTCTACCCAGGTCTTGAAAACCACGAAGGATGAAGCTTCCACCACCATTCTGGGTAACCTGTTACAGTGTTTTACCACCTTCCTAGTGAAAAAATTATTCCTAATATCTAAACTAAACCTCCCTTGCTATAACTTGAGACCAGTGCTCGGTGTTGTCTTCTGCTACCACTGAGAACAATCTAGCTCCATCCTCTTTTGAACCCCACTTCAGGTAGTTAAAGGCTGCTATTAAATCTCCTCTCAGTCCTCTCCTCTCTAGACTAAATAAACCCAGTTCCCTCAGCCTCTCTTTAAAAGTCATGTCCCCAGCCCCCTCACCATTTTTGTTGCCCTCCGCTGGACTCTCTACAATTTGTCCACATCCTTTCTGTAGTGGGGGGTGCCCAAAACTGAACACAGCACTCCAGATATGCCTCACCAATGCTGAATAGAGTGGAATAATCACTTCCCTTGATCTACTGGCAACACACCTACCAATGCAGCCCAGCATATTGTTAGTCTTCTTGGCAACAAGGGCACACTGTTGGCTCATATTCAGTCTATTGTCCACTGTAACCCCCACGTCCTTTTCTGCAGAGCTGCTGCCCAGCCAGTCAGACCCCAGCCTGTACTCGTGCATGGGATTGTTCTGACTTAAGTGCAGGACTTTGCACTTACCCGTGCTGAACCTCATGAGATTCTTTTTGGCCCAATTCTACAATTTGTCTAGGTCACTCTGAATCCTAGTCCTACCCTCCCACGTATCTACTACTCTCCCCAGCTTGGTGTCATCTGCAAACTTGCCGAGGGCACACTCTATGCCATATTCCAGGTCATTGATGAAGACAATGAACAAAACTGGCACCTGGACCGACTCCTGGGGAACTCCACTTCATACTGGCTGCCAACTAGACATTGAGCCAGTGATTACTACTCTGAGCCCAAAGCTCCAGCCAGTTTTCAATCTACCTTACAGTCCATTCATCCAGCCCATACTTCTTTAGCTTGCCTACGAGAATGTTGTGGGAGACCATATCAAAACCCTTGCTAAAATGACACTGATTAATGATGTTTTATATGAAGTATATATGGTTTCACCAGAGGCATAGCAGGGCAGCTCTGCATCAAGGGTAGCCATAACACACAAGGCAGTGCTGGCTGCTGCTGTGCCAAGGACAGCAGCACGATCAAACTGCTAATGTGGTGGTGGCTATTTTTGTGTCCACTCCTAATAGTGGCACCTGGGGCTGCTGCCCCAGTTTCCCTTCCCACCAAGTTATGCTGCTAAGTTTCATTTTTATAAAAACATATCATTAATTATCCCAGGGGTGTTAAATTCCTCTGGCTTCATGGGCTGGATCTGGCATGCAGGGCTCTTTCCAGGTGATGACAGCACTGGTCTGTCCCTTTTGTCTCTCAGAGTTCCCAAAGATTGAGGCCAAGTGGGCAGCCCCAGTAGGGGACTATCACTATGGTAATAAAGGAGGGAAGGGGCAATGGCTCTCCAGACACACAGCCAATGGGAGCACCACTCCACTCATCTGTCTTCAGGAACTCCAGGAGGTGGGACCATTTTTATTCCCCTTCAGGAAAGTAGGCCCTTTTAACACCTAGGCACACATGTTTGCACACTGTTCTTATTGCATGACAAAAAGTCTAGAGGAAGACCCCTGACAGACCAATTGAACGTGTCACACCTTTGGATAAAAATAATGGACCAGCCACAAAGAAATTGCTCATTGAAACAGCAAGTTCTTTGTGGCATACAGGTATCCTGCAATAACTGTAATGTGTGGCCAGCTGGCAGATTATGATTTGTTGTGCAAAACTCACATATAAGGTGCAACAAAAGTAATACCTGTCAGGATCCCTAGCCTTGCTAATTAAGCAAGGGAAACCACATAATTCCTATATCATTCGCACGCACACAAATACCAGACCGATGCATTATATACCACTACACAGAAAACATCGGGATGGAGGCTTGCTATTTGCTCACTAATGTTACCTAATAACTCTTGTAGACATATGACAGGACAGCATTCAGCAGGTACAGACTTCAAGTCTCTTACCAGATACTGTAGCCGCTGACGCTCAGTTTCTGGCGTGAATTCTGAAGACATTGGAACAACTTCTCCATTTCGGATTATGATGGCTCTGCAATTATCAAAAAGCATCATTAGCAAATACTACAGAGGATACAGGGCCACAAGGTGTCTTTCTAATCTTAGTGAGGTTCTTATTCTCTTCAGACCACAGCAAGACAATCTTTTTTTCCCAAATCATTACTAAAACATTATACCAACTCTCATCCTATATCAGTTAGATTAAATAGCAAGAGTACAATTTGCGTATGCCAAGTTTACCACAATTTTTAGAGCTCAGAAAAATCTGACACCCGAAAAATGAGAACAGGATTTATCACAGCATATGACTATAGGGTATCCTTATTAGTAAAAGTCAAACACCCAGAGGAGGTGCTGCAGAATCACTGATTTTAAAGAAAACCTTTGCAGGCTTTAATCCTGGTAGTGGCTGACACACACTAACCAACTGGTTTCAGATGACTCATGCAAGTCACTTTCCAGTTATTGATTGGTCATATGTCATGTCAGAAAATTTCCATTCTAGCAGCAAATGGAAATGGCAAGGCAAATCTTGTTCAACACACATCTAACTAGCTACCTGCCAAAGGAAGACAGGTAATGGGATGACTATAGATCATCTGGCAGATTTCGCACGCATTTCTGCAAGTGGCACAAAGAAAATTCCATCATACAATGAACATTTTTCTGTCACCTCTATTAAATATCTGTTGTACATAAGGCCACATTCTCCCAGGGTGTTATTCCACTGGCTGAAACAGAACTGCCCCAAGGAAGAACTTGGTCCATAATGTTTCTACTATATTTATTGCCAATGTATACAATCTAGTAATAGAATTGTATTCTTTACATTTTATTATTTATGCAGCCGTTTCAGTGGAATGCACACAGTGCTTTACTTAGTGGTTGGAAGAAGCATATGCGATCCAACAGATTTAACAATCAGATTAGGGACTGTCCACGCAGCGTAGATCAGAATTTGAGCGCATTTACTGTTGTATCATTTCAGTCTGTGCACAAAGCCAGCTACTGTTATTTGCATTAAATCTCATTGATTACTCCACTGGTGATCCTTTATGCTGCCTTTATTTTTGATAATTACCACTTAATTTGATTAGTTTGTTTGCTGCTACCTCATGGACTGGTATCCTAGTGGCACTGGAAACCTATCAAAATATGTACATGCACATCAAAATGTAATGGTTGTGTCAAAACACAGATCATATCCAGAACACAGCCCTTAAGGTCATGCTTTTCACAATCAGCTTTTTACAGTCACATTTGCCAAATTACAATCTGTAACTTTCCCATGAGTCACTTCATGTTCTAGTGGATCAACATAGTCCTCACATACATGTACAACAGAATGACAGAAAGGGGCAAGTTGTTTTGAAAGCATTGTGTATGAATGATGTAATTATTAGGGATAGGTGGAGAGACTGAGGATTTGCTGGGAAGCACAGGAAATAGGGGAGCCCAACTACAAGTAGCCTACAAGGCCAAGAAATTGGAGAAAATAGCTCTACTTGGAAAGAGACTTTTTAATGCACTTATCTTGCAAATAATACGTGTTGAATATTAGCAGTAAGAGTGAAACACAGAAACTTACATAACAGCATCATATCTGCCTACTGCCATTACCATTCTATTTATTTTCTAAATAGGGAAGATGAGCATGAAATCATTTGGACAGAAATGGTGGCAGATAGAATTTTCTTCTAAATAACGCATTTAAATACGTTATGGCTCTTTCTTTTTTTAACTCAAAAATGGCTTGTTGGGAGTCACCATTGGGCTCTGTGGCAGGGGTGTCCAAACCGCAGCTCCAGAGCCACATGCGGCTCTTCAGAAGTTAACGTGCGTCTCCTTGAATCTTTGCACAAGCATGAGGTGACCAGCTTCCATAGCCATTATGTCATGTCATGTGACAACTGCTTGCAGCAAGCACATTACTCAGTTTGGACATGAAAGTTTGGACTCCAGAGCCACCCCTGCTCTATGGCATGCATGAAAGTACATTACATTAATTTAAACAACTGAATCAAGACGATTGACTATTCTGTGTGATAGTATTGTTAGCTTTAATTTTTGCTGATGATCAAGTTATTTGACTTTGAAGCAGAGACAACTATTGAAATAAGTCAGTTTTTATAACCTTTTCATCTGTAATTGCTCATGTAAGCAACAGTCTCGGTTTGAAGGGATTATGGCCTCAGTATATTGATAAATAGTCTGCACCAGGCCAAAGTAGAATGATCACAAACTGATAGGATGCTAACAGAATTGCTGCACACTATCTTAAAAGAATGAGTCATACAAGCCACCCGATTCTGCCATGTTCAGCAGTGACATTTAATTTCAACTAACCTGGTGAAATACATTATAGTACAACTATAATTCTAGGCTGCAAATGAGACTAGATAATACCTGTTTTTTGGGAACCAGTTTATTTGAATATCTTTTTGATGACATGGTTACTCCCAAACCCATAACAATCACTCGTTTAGAACTGCAATGAAAAAATAAAAAACTACTTTCTTCCAAGAAGTGAAATCTAAATATTTTGGGGTCCACATTCTTTTAAAGTTAATTTTTTGTCATCTGACTTGTGCTGTTTAAAAAGGACCCAAAAATAATATTTCATGTTAGAACAATTGAATAAATGAAACACACTCAAATCATTGTTTTGAGATCAGCGAAGCTTTTAGTTAATTTAGTTTGGCATCTGTTATAAACACTGCCCATCATATTTTACCTAGTTTCCTCTCTATTGAGCCTAATTTTTTTTAACACATGTCCTACACAAATACAATCAAAACCACACTTTGTGGCATCCCTATATTGAATCTACACTCAGGGCAATTATCCTCAGCCATTCAGAGCTGGAGGAAGTAGACAGAACAGTATATATAAATATTTTTTTAAACAGAATTGAAGAAGTTAAACTTGGCTGAGCTGCTTAGTCATCTCTTTTAAGACCAGGTTAATCTGTGACATGCATTTCCTGATTCTGCAAACCCTAAAACTATGCAAGTAATGTGTCAGATCCTCTTCTGTGAAAATGATACAATAAAAATGACAATAAATATTGTATCTACATGAGGGCTGGAGAGGCCATGCTCTGGCACTTACATAAATGTAACAACCATCCAGAGTTTGAAAGAAAATTAAAGGAATGGAAATAAAATTAGACACACACATATACACAAACACACGCACATGCATGCACATGTATAGATCTCTTTCATTTCCTTTCTATTCCTTTAATTTTATTCCATACATATATAATTCTTCATAAGGAGCCAAATGAATGATCCCCGACATGAACACTCTCACATACACATCCTGTTTATTTGCTATGTTCAGTGCCAGTACCCTAAGCAAAAGTTGGAGCAAGTTGTCACCTCCTGCCTTTAAAAAGAATGCTGCTGAAACAACAGAAAAGGGGAAATTATTTCCTTTGTTACAGTGTTGTTCATAAAGGATGGAGCAACAGCACCACTGTGTTTTGGAAGCACCTCTCATTTATGCTTATATAAAAGGGAAAAAGTACTTAATTGTGTACACCCATAAGCATATGTGTAGAGCAGGGAATGAGCTTAGGGGGAAAGTTATCAGCTAAGGACTGCTTAGTGTCTTCTCTGGGGTTCCTGGGGGGAAAAAAAAAAAGGAAGAAATTTATACATTTTAGAAAAGCTATTGTTGGTTACTCTTGTTTAATCATAAAGAGCAAAGAGCACATTAGTGAACAAGGTCAAAAGTATAATTACACTGCTGTCATGGGCCTATTGGGATTCTAGTGTTCAAAACAAAGAGGCAGTTCCTACTGTTAAGAGTATTCATGGGGTGCCCTGATTCTATTACACACTTTCTCAGCCAAAAATGATTTGAAACGCAACATTAAACTGCACAATCCTACAATGGAGGATAAAATCTGGTAAAGGTGACAAGAACCCATTTGGAAAACGCTTTTTGACAGCGTATATCAATTCCAAACCACAGGGAGGATGTATCCATTTTGTGAAAAGGTGTTGGAGCATTGTGGATTCTGTACATATGAGGCAGAAGTGTCTGGCTGGTCTGAACAGGTACTAGAAATATGTCAATGGAAAAGAAAGAGGGGTTAGACTGACAGAAAGAATACGGGCAAGGTTTTATTATATGCAAAGGGGAAGCAACCACTAGGTTTTACTTACATGCGTCACAAAATAGCTGAGAAAAAATATGAATGGTAGAACTTATAAACTAGTCTAGGTGTCTGCTTGTTTACTATGATTGCTAGCATATTTTTAAGGAAGCTTGGAAAGAAGAACTTTTGGGTTTAAAATCATTCAGCTACATTTATCTTTTTAAAATTGTTTAACAAACAAAAAAGCTTTATGAAAGCTGTTTAGCTGCTCTACTCCATAAAATAGAGAGGTTAAAATGAATACGATGTGTAAATAAGTTCACCTCCATACCTTTCTTTCACTTATTACTAACTAGACTAGTCTGTTTTAATACAACACAGATTAATTTTTCATTGTCTTAGTTCAGCTGCTTCTACAAGCATCTTGTTGTGTCAGCAATATGTATGGCAGCATAGCCTGAGCACTATATTTTAAAGATTAAGGAAGACCTTAATCATTAAAACAGACCAGTGTGAAATGTAATTAGCATTCAACAAATATAGGTTCCAATGGTGTCAATCAAATACTGCATTACTCAGAATATAAAGATCTAGCCCCCAAGAAAGACTATGGAAAAAATCATGGAATACAACAAGAATATTCTGCCATTCATACTGCCCATTTCTCTTCTAATGCTCCATTACACAAAACCCAAAGCCTCTAGGACAGTGGTCACCAACCAGTGGATCTCAAACTCGATCCACTGGTAGATCTCAGAGCCTCTTGGAGCTGATCTGAGGCTGGGGGGCAGGGCTGAGTGCCTGCATGCATGGGAAGGGGTGGGGGCTAGATCAAGGTCCCTGTGGCGAGGGACAGTGCTGCAGAGGCAGGGGCAGGGTAAGTTGAGTGGGGCCCTGGCCAGGTGGGACTACCTGCTGGGGAG